ACAGGTTACACAAATGCCCCAGACCTGCCAGTCATGCTGGTGTGACCATAGTTACAGGTATCCTATCCCAACTGATCGACAGAATGCCTTCGCCATAATACCGTCTATATATTACATAGGTGATTATCCAAATTTTGTCATCGGTGAGTTTTGAACTCACAACCTACCACTTGGGGATATGACAACTTATCCACTTCACTAAGTCGCTACACCCTATCAAAATATTTTAATAAATAGCTTATCTTAAAGATTTATATTCTTTTTTAGCAGATGTATATTTATCTAATGCTTTAACTGCAATATTCTATTATATTAATTTTTTTATTTATTCTTTAAGAATATCTTTAATATAAGAGTTTATTATTCTACTTTTTTTATCTTTAATCATGCAATAAAGTTTTTTCTTTACAAAAATTTATTTAAAAATAGCCTACTTTAACAATAAGTTTAACAGCAATCAATTTCTTTATATTAGTTTCAAAAGTTTCACAAATATTAGTTTTATTCAGTTTTAGAAAGTTTTGCTCAGTTTCAAAAGTTTCTTTTAACTGAAAATTTTGGTTTAGGCTAAAACACTGATCTTATATCTGTATTTATAATATTATAATTAAAAACTACAAAATTTTTAAAAATTTTTGTCTTACTCAATGCATGATCAGTATTTAGACAATTGGTCAATTTTGAACTTTTTCCTTTTACAATAATAAAATACCATTATTGAAACTAATAATATTAAATAAAATGTACTATTTTTTGCAGAAAAAAATTAATATTAATATTATAATGGCATGTTAATATATATATAACAGTTATATTTTAACTACTCTACTTGGATAGTTTTTTTTGTATATACAATATAGATATAAACCTCTTAAAAAATATATATGTAATGCTTTTTTATTTCTATATATCACTATATATAGCCTTATATAAAATATTGTAATTAGAGATTGAAATTAGTTTAGTCAACTATTATATTTAGTTGACTAATTAGTTAACTAAACATAGTAGTTTATTATATAAAATTTTTAGTCGACTATTTTCTAATTGTAATAAAACTAAATAATACAAATTTATATATAAACTAACAAATTATTAAATATAAAGTTGTTAAAAAGCTTAGTTCTTGAGTCAACTTTACTTTGAACAATGTCTTAGATGCAAAAATCTTTTGCTTAATTTCTGATTATGTTTTGGCTAATTAAATTAATTAAATTATCATCAGGTTTATTACTAAGTCTAAATACAGGCTTGACTAAGAATTGACTCAAAAACTAAGTTTTAATCAAAGTTCTTGTTTGTAGAGTTTGAACTGATAAGATCAACCTTTTAACAACCCTAGTTAAATAAAAACTAATATTTAAAACCTTGAATTATCTTATAGAATTAGTATTTAGATAATAATAAGATGCTATTAGTAGAACTAATAATATTAAATAAAATACAGCAATAGATAGAAACTGCTTATAATCTAAGTAATTTGAGTTTATCACTATTTTGCAGAAAAAAATTGATATTAATATTATAATAATATATCAATATGTAAAACAACTATATTGTAACTACCCTACTTAGAATAGCTATTTTCTGTATATACAATATAGATATAAACCTATTTGATGCTTTTTTTGTTTTTACAATATTACTATATATAACCTTACATAAAACATATTAATAAAACCAAATAATGTAGATTTTATATATAGATTAGCAAAATTATCAAATGAAAACTAGTATTTAAAATATGAAAAGTATGGTTTAGAAACATGAAATTTATATAATTTAGTGTAATTTGGATTCATTTAAAACTATCAGATACATAAAATTTTTTTTTATTTTTTTTTTGCTTTTACTAAGACCATAGTTATTGGCAATTATTGTCTTTATTGTATTTTTAATTATAATTATATAACTTGTATAAGGTAAATTTACAACTAACCACACATACAATTTTTAGTTGTCTATTTTAAGTAATCCACTTGCATAGCAGATTTTACACTAGCTGCCATACCTGCAATCTACTAGGTGATTACCTATTTAAATACTCTGATCCTTATACTTATATCAACAAATAACACACAAGTTTCTGTAAAAATAGTAAACATCAATCTTAACAAAAGCAAAAAAAATAATTTTTTAATTTTAGAATTTTATAAAATTAAAATAAAAAAAATTTATCAAATTTGATTAGATAGTTATTGAGATATTTAAATTTAAAGTTGAAAAAAATTTTATTTTAGAAAAATTTGTCTTTTTTTTTGTTAACTTTCCTTATATACTGTATTTTCGATTTGGATACGTAATTATAAAATTTTTTAATACAATCGATATTACATTCGTGTTTTATAATTAAAAAACTAAGGATTTCTTTGTCAAATTTAAGATAATTATTATACGTAACTATATTTCTTTAATGCTAAACACATTTTTTTAAAAGATTTGCAAGCTATATATAGTATTACGCATTCGTGCATTGTGAGCCGAATTTATCGTTATACATACATGCATAATAAATAAGAATCTTTGCTGATCATCCCTCATAAAGATTAGCTTTAGGTATACATAATAAGAATTTTCAATTAAAGTAACATTATTATTATGACTTCTTTGTATGTAACGAGAGTAAATGTGTATCATTTGGATTATGATACTACATTTGAAATACTGAACTTATGCAAACAAAAATTATAATTATTGAAATTCTTTTAAAATATATAACAGGATTAATTAATAGATTTCAATAGTCTGTACTACATAATAAAGAAAATTTCGTATTATCGGAAAACCTAATTATTATGTTTTGTAAATCATGTTTTCTACGTTTCTAAACAGAAACCACACAGCCCCACATGTGGACAAGTTATGGCAGTGAGTAAATGAAAAATGTCAAGAAACTACTTGTTCGCTTAATTATTATTATGATTGAAATGATTTAAATGCTGGTTATACGTTCCTACATTAGCATGATCTACCATATGAAGTAAAAGATAACAGTTTGTGTTCAAGTATGAAATCAGAAACTATTGGTTCTTTCACCTGGTTTTGATTAACACCTGTCGTTGGCTTATTTGTCACTAGCTGCTACGCCATGACTGCGCCGTTTCAACTTCGTCCACTAAGATCAAGCCAAATCTTCCTCCCTCTTTTGTTTGGCCTTTTTTTTTTTTTACCTTGTACACCCTTTTCTATCAATACATTCTATCTATCCTGCGGGTTTTTTGTGTGAAGCTTTATAAGCGCTCACGTCGTGTTGTTTCCTTCCCTAGATTTAGAATAATATATTATCATCCTTTAACCATCAGTATAAGCCATATACAAGAATGGGTCTTTCAATCTCTAAACTCCTTCAGGGACTTTTTGGCAAGAAGGAAATGCGCATTCTGATGGTCGGTTTGGACGCTGCTGGTAAAACAACCATCTTGTACAAACTTAAATTGGGTGAAATTGTTACAACCATTCCCACTATCGGTGAGTATTTTGACAGGTCATTTAGTTGTCTCTAAGACGTTTCCGAAAATTCTCCGGTTTTTTTTTTTTATTTGTACATGTCTGACTCTAAACCCTTTGTGCAGGCTTCAATGTTGAAACTGTAGAATATAAAAATATTTCCTTTACCGTTTGGGACGTTGGTGGTCAAGACAAGATCCGACCGTTATGGCGTCATTGTAAGTTTAATATGAACTAAAAATTTCATTTTTGGATAAAAACTTTTTATTAACATGATCATTGATATTGGCAATGTAAAGACTTCCAAAATACTCAGGGCATTATTTTCGTTGTTGATTCAAATGATCGTGAACGTATTTCAGAGGCTCGAGAGGAACTTCAACGCATGTTAAACGAAGACGAACTTCGTGATGCGCTTCTTTTAGTGTTTGCTAACAAACAAGATTTGCCTAATGCTATGAATGCAGCTGAAATTACCGATAAGCTTGGACTTCATTCTCTCCGACAGCGTCATTGGTATATCCAAGCCACCTGTGCTACGAGTGGTGATGGTCTTTATGAGGGTTTGGAATGGTTAAGTACCAATTTGAAGCGAAAGGTCTAATTAGAGATGATGATCAATTAGGGAATAATCTATCATTTGATTCGTTTGATCGTGACCGATCATAAAAATTTTTTTTTTGAGTATGGTCGGTCGGTAAGTGGTCGACCATTAAATAGTCATGCCTGACACCATGAATCACTCGTATTATATTCGTTACAATAATAATATTTGTCTTTTTATTATTTCCATGCTAATTCCGTAGTATTAATGTCATGCTTGAAGTTAACACCTACTTTAAAGTTGCACTTGTCTGAGAATTAGATCTTTTAATGTTACGAAATTTTTCGTACATAATAAAATTTATTACTATATTTTTTTAAGTTATTTTTTTTATCACATTCTGCGTAATGATTTTTTCCTTTTAATAATTAGATATATAGTTAACTTTATCTTTTACTATAATTATTACATCTTTTTTTTTTTATAGATAAAAAATTATTGCTTAATTTGTGCGTAATATTTTTCTTTTCTTTAGCGTTAGCAGAAATTCTATATAGAGCTGCTTGTCGCGAATAATAAAAACTTAGTTGATATTGATAATTGAATAAAGAAAAAAATATTTAAATTTAACCACCTAATAATTATGATTCAGGCACTGTTACAGGTTAATTCGTAACTCCGGAAATTCGTATTGCTGGGGTAAGTGAGATCAAGATCATAATTATCATTATCGTTATCGGTAATATCAATACTAATTATAGTCAGACCTTGATAATATAATCACCAGGTTGGGAAATAAAAATTTGATTATAAAAAGTTGTTACTACGTATACGTATAAAGGTCAAATTTATATGTTTTATAATAGCTAGAGAGTAGTCTGACTGTATATAAGGCATTAATCCAAAGAAAGTACCTAATTCTTTAATTTGCTATAACTTAAACCCTGTCTTAATGAAATACATTGCACAGTTCCACAGTTCGGTCAGTCTTAGTGAAAAAATCGACAAGTAAAGTCATGTGATACAGAGACAAAGGTTCTACTCACTGAAATTTTTTGGATTCATGTTATGTGAAGAACAAAAAAAGGTCAAGTTGATATGAGTTGAAGTAAAAGTAAATAATTAAATATTGTAAAAAAAATATTAAAAAAATGGTACATAAGGTCACACAAATTTAAGAAGACCTTGATCCTATAACAATATTATATATATTTAGTAAAAAGAAATTACAGGCATCTTTGGCATAAATCTGCTTACTTTAAAAATATTTTTTTCTATTGTCTTCGTAAAATAAGAACATGACTTTAATTATTATTTTAAGAAAAAAACTACAAACACAGCCTTATTAACACAGCACTAACCTTAATGACACAGCATGGCCAGCATTATCGTTAAGGTTAGTATTAGAATATGGCAGAATTAAGAAATTAGATCACGTGTTGCTGTGTCTGTAACATTTCACTTTTTAAAAATCAAATATACAAGAGTAAGCATCGCAGTCCCCTGGACAAATCAATTTTGCATGGGTAGCAATGAGATGAGAAAGATGAGATGATCTACACAATCAGCCAATTACAGTAAAGTTCCGTTATGCTAAAAAAAAAAAAAAAATTTCAGTTTTCTTCTAGTTTTTTTTTTTTTTTTGTAGGGTAAGAAAACTTAATAACACAGACAAAATGGGTCGTATGCATGCTCCAGGTAAAGGTATCGCAAGCTCAGCCTTGCCATACCGACGTACACCACCTTCATGGTTAAAGACTACACCCGAAGACGTTTGTGAGCAAATTTACAAGTTTGCAAAAAAGGGCATGACACCTTCGCAAATTGGTGTACATCTTCGAGATTCACATGGTATTGCACAAGTGAAAAATGTTACCGGGAATAAGATTCTACGTATTCTAAAGTCGAATGGTATGTAACCTGTTGACGAATAATTTTATATTGTAATTTACTAAGCATTATATTACTATTGAATGATTGCTTCATTCAAGGTCTAGCACCGGAGATTCCCGAAGATCTCTATCATTTGATCAAAAAAGCTGTTGCTGTTCGTAAGCACTTGGAACGTAATCGTAAGGATAAAGACTCCAAATTTCGATTGATTTTAATTGAATCAAGGGTTCACCGTCTTGCCAGATACTACAAAACAGCAGGACAACTTGCACCAAACTGGAAATAGTATCCTTTATTTTTGTTTCATTCATTACACAATCTTTTAGACGTTACGTACGAAATGGTTATAAATAAGAACAATTTTAAATTGATTAATAATGAACTATGTCTAGTAATAGTTTTCCTTAACACATTTTTTTTTACAGCGAATCTTCTACAGCAAGTGCTATGGTCGCATAAACATGTTCATACATTCTGTTTGATGTAATTTATGGAGATGAGGTTTTTTAAAATTTGCGAATAAAAAAAATCAAAGAAACCAAATTCATTAAAATGGTGATATTATATATATATGGTTCACTGGAATTTGATAACGTTTAAGCAATTATTTTGTTTGTCATATGAGAAGAGATATGATGACTACTTACTTCAACCTGAATTTTTATATCATGTGATGTTCATTCACACTGTCTGATCTCCTCCATTCTGACATTAAAGAACGCTTAGGCTTTATCAATATTTATTTAAATGCGATGTTATAAATTTATAAGGGTTCGAGTAATTCATCGGAACAAGAACAATGTACATTAATAACGGTCATAATAAAACCTTCATATAATATTGTCAAACGTAGTATTTAGTAGCATGATGAAAAGTCCTTTTGATTGATAAATGAGAACATATATATATTCGGTAATATCCGAAGCTACAACTATTTTAGTCAGTCTGAAGATTACTTTATTGATTTAAAAAAAAAACTGTGAGTCACCTGATGTAACTATTATAGTGAAACGTAATTTTATTCTTTATTAGCACTAAAAGCAACGGAGTATCATAATTTTTCTACTTAGTCTTTGCTATATAGGTGATGTTCGCGATTAATTCTAGGTAAATTCTAACCTATCTAAATCTTTATCCCTACAGTATATAATATAAATACCCGGTATATACGCATTCAATAAAAGTATGATTTTAATAGAGTAATTCAAAACGACATTTTATTAAATTCATTGAAATATATATACGTATTAAAAATTAGTAAATATTGAAGTTCCAAAGGGCCAGTTAACTGGGTCTATTCACTTGCCAAAGAGCCAGTAAAAACTAGAAGCCTACTTTGACACTTATTCAAGCCAGCATAAACCCTATACACGTAGTGTTAATTATTATCTAACAAGTCATTCTCGTTATAGTGAAGTTTCGGTATAGTATACGTAGTGAAGATAAATTCAAAACCAGTTTATATAAAAATCCTCTCGATATAATGAAGTTTTTGAAAATTTTTACTATGGAACGGATTACTTCACTATAACGAGTTTGAATTGTATTTGATTATCCAAATTCTTGTACATATCCAAATTAATTAAATATGCGGCAATTATCTGACATGGTTTAATTGCCGAAATTATAAAAGTTCCTTTAAGTTTTTTGTATCTAAGTTATGTGTGATTGAATATGCATATTATGGTATGGCTATTTTATTTCAGCAAACAGTTGATAATATTACGTTTTTTTCTAGCAATAAAATTTATATTGTCAAAATTACCAAAGTTCTTTATTTCCGACTGAAATGTTTATGCTCAGATTAAAGCTAATACATAGTAAACTTTTGATATCCTTAAAGTACCCCCTGCTTATAATACCCCCGTGAAAAATACCCAGGTACAATTCATAGGTTCATGATCCAGAATAAGACCCGGGTATTATTCTTATTTGAACTACTATTAAACTATGTAAAGTACCCCATTATACGTAGTATCCTCCCCCATAATTAGTACCCGGGAGGGTACTATTCAAGAAAAACTTTTATTTCAAAATATTTCAGAATATATTCATTAATTAAGAAAAGTATATAATTGATTCCTCTTGCAGAATTTGTTAACATTAATACGTACGTATGTATAGTTAGATTTTACCAAAAATAGATGATCAATTACGTACGTACAGTATATTTTTTATTATAGCATTACTAAAATTAACTATATCACATTAACATACTGCTAAGAAAGTAATGTGCAGTAGATGGAGGCGCAATACGTACGTAACAATGACAGTAACAATTAATAATATCTTATACGTATACGTATTCAAATCGGTTACCTTCTAGGCTGTAGATCTAATTTACATAATAACGCCAAGAACGCTATACACATACGCATTTCTATGATTAGCTTAAACTATGACTAAACTATCATGAAGTGTTGTAAGATAGAATTATTACTATTTCAAAGGTTGCGTTCAAAAATCTAAGAATCAACAGTGCGAAAGACGGGTACACTATCTATATATAAGTAATTTGATAATGTTTAAACTTCGTGAACGCGAACCATATTTATTTGAGATTGACCAATCATAAGTTACATGATTATAATTGGATATGTTGTATATCTGATACAGTATGTATACAAAGTTATTATATTTTTTAAATATTGTAATGTCTGAAGAAATTTCAAAGATTGGAGTGTCTCAAAGACCCGTTTTTTATGGTTTTCTTTAAATGATAAAAACTTTAAAACTAATTATGCTTTACATTTAAAATTTTTAACGTTAATAACTGCAAATAATACGGCCGAAGACAACCTAAAATAACTTAATAATCTTGGCAATTTTTATTAAAATATCACCAATTAGCCGCAGTTCTATATAGATGAAAATTATAAAAGGGGAAGCTTGTACATCAATACACCATCCTTCGCCTTTGTTATATTTATATTTATTATTTAAAATCTTTAAAAAATGTCTGCACCACCGCCACCACCACCTCCTCCAGTATCGACACCCTCATCAAGCGGTGGTAGAAAGGCTCTGCTTTCAGATATTCAAAAAGGGAAAAGGTTGAAAAAGGTAGTGACAATTGACAAATCTAAACCCATATTAGACGTTGGTGAGTTTAAAGTCTAATATAGATATTTGTGGGATCTCAATTGAAAAAAAAAACTCTTACCTTCAAAATATTGGGTTTTGGGTTTATATTTCACTTTTGTGACAAGCTTGACTTGCAATTTTACATATAGAAATTTTTTTTAATCATTTATAGGAAACTCAACTATAATGTCTAGTAGTGCTAAAGGCCGTTCTTTGTCTGCTGGCAACGGTGGTAGTGCCAATCTGCCCACGCCTGTTGGCCTTGGTGGCTTGTTTGCAGGCGGTGTACCAAAATTGAAGAGTCGTAATACTGCTGCCGAAACTGATAAAGAAAATGGTAATTTTCACGTTTGAATTTTTATATATAACGATAGCTAAATTGTTATATACGGCATACAATTAATCATAAATTCATTTCTTTTAGGTTTAGCCACTCCTCCTCCTTTACCAGGTGGACGTCCAAGGTCTTCGAGCGCTGATAATCGCGCATCTAGCTTAGTTATTCCTCCTGTTACATCAAATAAAATTATAGTTCCAAAGAATCTTGTTAAGACCGTAGCATCTAATGTAGACACGTCGATTTCTGCAACACCACCTGCATTGCCAAATCGTGTTCCACCACTGCCTTCTCGTACTTCGAAAGCATCACCTGTACCACCGCCAGCTCCGGCACGTGCAACTACGAATACCACATCATCATCATCACCTCCTCCCCTACCTTCGCGCAATGTACAGTCAACGCATCCTCCGCGAAATGGGCGAGTTCTACCTCCGCCACCACAAGCTGTTCCACCAACTATTAAAAGACCACCACCACCACCACCTAAACACACAACTCCGAATGCATCATCATCGCCTCCATTGGCTCCTACACGACGACGTTCTTTATCTCCACCGCCACAACCTCCAAGAGAACGTTCTCCATTACCAACTGATAAAAGACCTACTTCATCTGCCGTATTATTAAAAAGCAAAGAATTCAATTCACGTAAGATCTTGACACCACCACAACCTCCTGGAATAAAATGTAAATAATTTATTTTTATTTGCTAAGTTTTATTAAATTTTCACTTCTCATATAATTAATAACTATTTACAGCACAAGAACCACCAACCACTGAAGGTCGTTGGACATTTCACCCTTCTTCTGATTTTCCAAAACCTCCTAGTTTTGTCTAGAGTTTAGAACCGAGTTATAGTAATATGGGTCCCCGTGTCAAAACGTTTCAACTGGGTCAAAAAATTTACAACTCAGGTCAAAACGGTTGAATATGTAATCTCTAAAAATCTGCATTATTGTATTGTGAAAATAAAAACTTTTTTTTTTCTTATTAATTTATCTAAATGTTCAATCTCGCTAATCTGGATTTTTAAATAAAAAGTTACAAATTTGGATAGGCAAAATTTTTATATATCCTTAAATATTCTTATTCATAAATTTCGTTATAATAAATAATTCTATTTAAATACGTCATTAAAATATTGCTATTTACTGCTGGTGGCGATATCGCCAAGGATACTATCTAACACATGTCGGGTACTAAGTAAAAATGTTAAGGATCCTAACCCTAACTGAAATTTAATCTTTGTCTAAAAATGTACTCTTACCTTAAATTTGATAAAAGAAATAAGAGATGGTGGTATCGCCACCGGCGATAAATCCTAAAATTGTATATCAAATAAGTTTAATATTTATTTTTGTAAACACTCGTACGTTATAAATTATTGTTTTAATAAGATAGTTTCGAATTTATAAAAGTATGCTCGTACATATTCTAATGAGAACCTATTACTGCAGATATAGGCTTATCAGGATAGCCAGTAAAAATAGCTGGAAGTTTATGAAGCAAATGTCAAATTTGCAACCTTGATAAAGGCAATTTGGCATTGTATATAAATATATTATTACATTCAAATAATTAATTATTTTCTTTCTTTTTTTAAAAAAGTTCTTATTTTTGAAAGTGGGGTTTTTTATATAAACATGAGTGTTTTCAGAAGCTTTTTATATTAAAAGGTATATACTAATTATATATATATAACACAAAAAAAAAAAAAAACTAATTATATATATATATACATTTTTGATGTCAAATTTAAGTAGTCTGTTTATATATTATATACAGATTTTATATTAGATGTTATGCTTGCAAGTCAATTACAGATCTTGTTTTTAGGTAAAACTTTCTTAAATTAAAAAATAATTAGAATAACTATTACATATTTAATACAAAAATATATATATATAAAATTTATTTATATAATTTATAATATTTTTTTAGAAGCTTTAGGTAATTTATCTTTTTTGTAAAATGTAATTGAATGTACTAAGTTAACAAAATTAAAAGGTTTAAAAGAATTCAGTTAATTTTATATTGTAATTTATTTAACAAAATTAAGTTTTAATATAAGAAAAATTTAAAATAAAAAACTATTAAATTGTGTAAATTTTATTCATTAATAAAAAAAATAATAAGAAGTTAAAGCTAATAGTTTAATATAGGCAACTTGAAAAAAATTATCACTTATGTTATAATTGTTATATAAATTTTATAAAAAATTAATTAAAGAAAATCAAATATGTAAAATCTTAGTTAAAAAAGTTAAAGTTAATATAATTAAAGATAAAAAAGATAAAATTTAAATAAAAAATATAGTCAAAGCAAAAAATGCAATTAATTCTAATTTAGATATAACTAAAGTTAATATAGTTAAAAAAGATTTAATTAAAAAAATAATAATATAATTAAAATAAATATAAAAAATATAATTAAAAAATATAGCTACTAAATTAGTAAAAATGCAAAATTAAAAGATATGAAAACTATAATAAGAGAAAAAAAATAAATATAATTAACTTTATTAAAAGTATTAAGCATATAAAATAAAATTTTTTTTTTTTTTTTATAGTTAAAGCTCCTATTTTGAAGATGCGATGTTTTTATTCAAATATATTAGAATATAGCATGCTACCAGAAACTAATCTTATATTGAAGGTTACAACTAGCTACACATGTACTTTTGGTGTCTAATTTAAGTAGTCTGCTTACATATTGCTATATAAGTTTTATACTAGTTGCTATATTTGCAAGCCAACTAGGAGTCTTGCCAATTTAAACTTTCTGTATATGCAATCCTTTTTGTATTATGAGAATATCTTAAGGTTACACTCATCCAAGTTTCTAATACTGGTTGTTACCCTTAGGACTAGTTTATTCTCAACAGAAAACTTACTAAAGCCTTTATATCTCACACATATAAACCTAGTTTTATACAACATATTATAGTTATCTAATATTTGCAATTACAGAGATTACCTGTTTAACTGCTATATTACACTATTTCTATTTTTGTAAAGTTTACTAGAACCTCAGTACCTATCTTTCTGGCATCTTCTCCATCATCTTCTATTAGTTGCAACTCAGAACTGTTAGTTTCATTCCAGACTATCAATTCAGATAGCCTGGTATAGTGTTATAAAGTAGAAGCCTTCTTATTTCTATACTACAACAATGACACGGCACAGGGACTCTATGCGGTGTCCAAGAGGGAAGTATAGTTTCTGTTAGACATTGTCAAGAAACTATACCTATCTTTGAGGCAGTTCGATAATTATTACATAGTAGTTTATAGTTAAAGTCATTTATTAAAGAATAACAAGAAGAACTATTCTTAGGCACATGTCCTAAAGGATTCAAGATATAATTTACAGGCTAAGAAGAAGGGGAATTGTCTGTTTCTTGGGACTGAACTAACTTGAATTGAATGCTTTTTACTTGAGGAAATTTAGAGGATTTATATATCTTTAAGTTTAAGTGACAAAGTGATTAAGTGACTAAGTGACTAAGTGACAAAGTGACTAAGCGACTAAGCGACAAAGTGACTAAGCGACTAAGCGATTAGTTTCACAAAGCGACTAGTTACACTAAGAGACTAAGCGACTAGTTATACTAAGGGACTAAGCGACTAGTTTCACAAGCTTAAGGCATTAAAATGTTTAAAGCATTAAAGTAACTACAACTAATAAATAATACA